TCCCCCAATTCTATTTAAACATGGTGGATTAAAGCTTATGAAAGAACTCCAAGTTCAGTTCTCTAAGGTTTGGAACACTGAGCAGGTCCGCTCCTCGTGAGGGAGGGGATCCGATTATCTTCCTCTTCTTTAAAAAAGGGAAAGCGCAGTGACTGCGCCAATCATACGCGTATAAACCTGATCCCATCAGTGTCAAAGCTATTAGCATCCGTCATTCTTCGTAGATTGTACAAGACGCATGGGGAACAAACGCGCGAGGAACAGGCTGGGTTTCGCGCCGGTTGTGGCTGCATCGATCGAATCTTCACCTTTCATCAACTGCTTGAGCACCATCGTGCTTACCACAGACCAGCGGTCATTGTGTTCTTAGACATTCGCGGGGTCTTCGACACTGGAGCGCACTATGGAACTGTTTGTTGAGAAATGGAGTACCTGAGGAGCATGTGTCGATCCTCAAAGAGTTATATCGTCATACCTCAGGTCGGGTTAGTGTATATGACTAGCCTTCAACAACCTTCACCGTCTACAATGGAATTCGACAAGGCTACCCTATATTCTCATTCCTTTTCAACTTTGTCATAGAGGGTATTCTACAGAATACTTCGTCCAATCTAACAAACGGTGGAGTCTAACTCCTCCCAGGAAACTGAGCTTTTGACTTAGAATATACAGATGATATCGCCTTGTTGGGTGACAATGCACAGGCAGTTCAACAAGCTTTAAAACACTTGGCGATTCAGGTATCCAGGTATCCAGGTACGGTATGTGCTTTGCACCAACAAAGTACAAAGTGCTGCCTGCGTCTGCATTTACTATTTTTGGCGATCAGATGGAAATGGTCGAGAGCTCCTACCAGTCTTGAAACAGCACTTTGTACTTTGTTGGTGCAAAGCACATACCGTACTGCCTGTGCATTGTCACCCAACAAGGCGATATCATCTGTATATTCTAAGTCAAAAGCTCTGTTTCCTGGGAGGAGGAAGCCTGCGGCAACTTGTGTCAAATTTGTAGGGGACTCTTCGGAGTAACCAACGGTGTTGCTTGTTTTCAACACAACCGTGAAGAACGAAAAGCTAGGTGGTATCGATAAAAATGGTTACGACAAAAAATTGGCGAACTTCCTAGCCTCTTTTTCATCTCATCATCTCTCTCATCTCTCATCTCATCAGCTGTGTACATACATTCAGATTAAAAGAGTGACAGGTTTGGGGACAGACGAGCACACACGGGGAAGAGAAATCAATTAATACGAAGGCCAAAGGTCACTAA